GTTAAACTGCTCATCCGTGTAATACTTGCAGTTATTTTCAGAGTTCTTAAAAAAGTTTTTTTCAGGGTCAAAATCTTCGTCCGGTTCATGATAATGAATTTCAGTATTCCCAATAGTGTTCAGTTCCAGCTCCAGTCCTTCAAAAACTATTAACTTCTGTAACAAATCACTTGCCTCATTCTGTATATGGGTCATGCTTGCTGTTGTTGGTTCCAACGCTCATCTGCCGTCGCAGATATCAATATACCTGCGTGTTTCTTCATACATCTGAGGGTCCAGCAACCCCTTCATACTCTCCTTGTCTTGGCATCCTTGGCGTGCTGGTCATGGGTCATGGGTCCTGGATCCTGGTTCCGAGGTCTGGTCACTAGTCCATCATACCGCAGGAACGCGATGTCTCCCCTCTCCCTGGCCTCCCTTAACTTCGCCATCAACTCCCTTCTTCTCTTCCTCACAGACTCGGTGTAATCTTCATTTATATAAATGTTAGATCCTTTAAGCTTCTTTGCTTGTTGCAATATGTGTGCTTTATCTTTCTCTTTCATCAACTTTACCATCACCGCCCTAATTAAGTAAAGGATGTGAATACTTGCGCTATTACTGGAGTTAACATGCAAACTACCATGTTTTAGTTATAAAACACGTTATAGTTGTATGCTTTTGCTATTTTTAATTCTGTGTATTCTTTAGGATCAGTCTAGCTCAATCAACTGGCACAGTCACGTCCAATAAAAAAGACCCTGCGTTTTCTTTTGAGGGTTACTGTAGCTCACAGTAATTATATAGAATAATAGTAATTGTTATCCTAACATGAATATCTCATACCATTGCAACCCTATTCTGTAATAGATTTACTTTAATGTTTAGTGTCACTGTCCTGCTGCATCATTCAACTTGTAATGTCAGCCACCCTGACATTATCATATAGGATTCCTTGATAACCCCAGGAATTCATTTTTATCAAAGATCACATTTTGTGAGCAAATTATGCAGAAAAGCAGGTAATTCCAAATAGTTCACTTTTTCTTGTCACTGTCTGTCCTTCCTTGAATCGCCTCTAATACTTTTGGGAGGGCAGACCAAGAACACACGGGCAGGCTCTTTATTAAATAAAATATTGTCTGATGGGCTTGTGAAGACTCTAACATGTGAGCTTTAACTCTTTCCAGTTGTGCAGCAACGGCTGATGTCGTCAGTTCCTGGTGGTTCTGGGGAGAACATATTCTATATTGTGCTGTGTGGTGGAGTCTTTGTGGGTGCTATATCATATGTAAGTTACATTACTTCAGCTAGATCTTCAGTGCATTTGCTACTAACATATGAAATGTTATTGGCAAACCTAACCTCAGCATAGGGTTAAAAGTCCAGCAGATTTAGCTGGTTTTGCACAATGTCCAATATTTACAGAAATGAGAGATTAACCACAGATATCTGATTCAGACTTTTCTTCTTTCCACAGGCATATAGCACAATGTCCACAGACAGAATCAGATACAATGAGCGCATTGCACAAATTAATGCTCAATCCAAGGCAGAATGGGTACCTAAACCATGGCCACCTAAAAGTAAGTATTCCTCAGCTGCCACGTGCATTTTGATTTATTTAATTATTTATTTTATTTAGGCAGTTTTATTTTAGAACAAATTATGTGACAGAAATAAAGTTAGTAAACCTGGGGCTTTGTGGGTATGCAACAATGATAGCATTGTGTTGTTTTTATAATGAAAATAAGCTTTGGTACATGTGGATAAAACAAAAAGCACATGTTCAGTCTTCTTCAACTTGGTTTTCCTTAGCTTTTTTCTTTTATGATTTTGTGAGAGAATGGGCGACAGAAAAATTAATTTCTTGTATAATATGCCTATAGGGGTTATACAGTAGGTAGGTACGGAAAAGGGCTTTACATCTTGACTTTTAACCTAATAGCTGAGCAGTCACTAGTATATGCAAAAGGATAAGGATAAAGCTGTAGATACAGTGATTTTACTGAGGACATAAGCACATTTTCTTATTCTCTAATTAATCAAATGCCATGTTGACCCACAGAACATATATCAGAAGCCTTTTGCTCTCTAGCTTGCCTGCTCAGATATTTTGGTTAAAAATAAAATTGTTCTCTGTTTGTGCTGTAGTTTAAGGTTTCCTTTTCTTCTACATCTAGCTGGTGTTCAGAGTGTGAACAAAATTCCCGGCAAAGCTTTGTTCAGACATAGCACGGCCTAGCTGGGTACAGCCACAATGTTCATGTGATATTCAACATCATGTAAGGCAGATACACTTATTCCTCTGCAGTCTGCACAGTCCTGTGATTTCAAGCCGTTCTGCATTAGCTCATGCTGCTAAACCAGCTCTAATACTTTAGAGTGTGCCCAGCACTGTTCATAGAGCTTGGTTTCACTTGGTCAGTACAATTCTAACAAATCTGTCCTACATGAACTTAATGTCTCCTGTCCTGATATTACCCTACAGGCCAAAAGGTTTGGATTCCAAACCAATCTCCTCTTTTGAAACCACACTGAATCCTTCTTTTCTCTCCTTTCTGCTATTCATTGTGTTTCTCATATCTTGTGTTATAACCAGAATAGTTATTTGACTTTAAACAAAAAGCAGAGTCTTCCATTTTCTATCAAACATCTGTGCTCCAGGTGAGACAAACTGGCAACTTTGTTGTAATTGCCTAATATTTAAAGCTTCCTTTTCATAGATCACTCAGCACTGACACCCATTTGATCTCACTATCCTCACATATCCATTTTTCACAAATGCATAGCCTGTGTGGCTGAATTTAGAATGATAGTAAATTGAGCTTAGCTTTAAGGCAAATTCTCTTCTTCCCTTTTCGTTACCTCTCTGTCTTTATTCTTTTCAGTGTAATGCGAAAGCTAAGGTCCACTGTGGCCGCAAGGATATTCATCCTAGAACCGGACTCTGGTTCTGAGCAGGAAGACAAAATCCATTTTTCCTCTTTCCTCTTCTCAGCCTTAAACCTGTGGACAGCACTGTGAAGGAACCTGACTTTGCCTTTGCTGCTAAATGTCACTTTAAATCTGTGAAGAGAGAGAATAAACTTGACAGACATATCCCAAACCTTTTTCGTGCGTCACTGCACTATCATTCTTAACTCTGATTTTGAATGTGCTTTATTTTTTGTTTGGCCAGTTGCTCAACTTAGTTGTCAACTTTAGAATTGAAATTTAGAATGAAGAAAAAATGCCCCCAGAACTAGCAGCTAATCCTCCACATTGTAACTCACCAGAGCCATAGTGTATGCAACAGCTAGCATTCAACCCAACAGAGAAATACTGTACACCAGTGTGCCAATATGGAGGCTGTTATGACTCACAGCTGTCAGTGCTCAGATGATGAGCACGGAGTCTATGCTGATTCCACATGGGCCACTTTCCCACAGTTTGGTGTGTTTTTATTAAGAGTTAAATGTGGAAGGTTGTCTCAGTTAATGATTAAAGACACAAATCACCTGTTTCAAATGGAATCATCATTTCATTGTTTTACCTCTTTCTGAGTTTCGGATAAGTCTTGGCTTGGTAAGAACCAAGAATTTTTTTTTTTACCCCCCTCTACCCTGCACCTTTACCTACACTTCTCTCCCTCCCCTACCCTCCCTCTCGTGTTTGTCATGCTCCTCCCTGCCTTTCACTTTGCATGCATTTTTGTAGTGAATGTGTAACCTCTGGGATTTTTTTTCAAATGAAACATTCACTGAAGCAGCAGTAAGGTATGGAGTGGCATTTCTAGAAGTGCTGTAGTACTTCTGGATCCACTTTCAGGGCTCCCAAAACATGCTGGAAATCATAGTTGGGCTATTAGTAGCTCTGTTTTCATCCAACTCAGATTTTTCTCATATGAACACAATTTGATATAAACCTGAGTCTGATCTGCCAAGTAAAGGCTGTAACACACCAGAGACTTGCACTTCTCATATGATGGCATGTGGCAATAAATGTATAGGAAGAATCATCATACAACCGCAGAGACATGGGATATCTTTTGGTGGCTGTGGATACTTAATTCAACAAATGTAAGATGGGTATTCATCAGGTACATTTTGTCATCTGACTGCAGATTTGTTGACTTGGTAACATTACTTACTGTGTGTTAGTACCAAATAACCTCAGCTTCATCCAAAAGGTTTTTATTGTTGTATAGTGTTGAAACCAAAATTCTTCTACAGCACTACTACATCGCTACATTTGACTAAAAATACATTTTGTAGGGATGATAAAACCTTTCTTCTGTTGTGTAGTTTGACACTCCTTGGGTGGAAACCCAGCTACTGATAATGTATTAATATTGTCTAGTGCTGCTTTCATAAATAAATATTAATCAAGATATCTAACATTTGAAAAGTGAAGTTTTGCTTTATCCTTTTACAGGTAGCATTTCAAACCAAACGTGTTTGTAGAATACACACTGTTAAATACTGTTTAGGGTGGGTTGCTGGAGGGTAGTGGAGTGAACATGAAGACAACTGGCCACTCACTTTAGTAGATAACAGAATCTCTGTGACTCAAACAAATGCTCTTCTTCTGATTCTGGTGTTATAGGTGGAAAGGAGGAGGAGGAGGAGGAGGAGGAGGAAGTGGCAGCTAGAGAGGCTGAGCTTGGAGAAGAGGACGGTGCTGCTGACAGCAAGACAGAGACTGTAGTGGAGGCAGTTGATGAGGTAGTTGCTGAGGTTGCTGAGGTGGTGGAGGGTAGTGCTGAGGTTGTGCAGGACGTGCAAACAGTCACGGAAGAAGTGGCTGGATCTGCTGAGGGGGCTGCTCAAGCTGATGCAGAACCGGCGGCCATTGCTGCTGAGGAACCCAAAAGCAAGGGTATGACCTCATCTGAGAAGGAGGCAGTTGCCTCTGAAGCTTGAGGTTCCACACATTCACTACAGGGAGGCACATACTAGACACACGCTTAACTATCTCTAAAAATGTACATTACCTTTTGTATTTATTGGCGTGGGTATAAAGAGTCACACTGTGTAAATTAAGCATTTCTTCATTGAAGGATGACTTGAGATTTTTCCTGTGTGCAGATCACTGTGTCTGATGTCTGTATTTGTTCCAATTATTATGCGCCCCCGAGATGCTAAAAACTAGCAAGACCGTCTTCTCAGCGGGTCTCATGCTTTACAGCTGCACATCAGAATAAGAAAAAAATCATAGGGGTCTTTATGCGCCGCTCTTGTGCAGTTATGGGTGAAATGAATGTGATCACTCTGAATGCATACAACTAAATAAAAAGCAGGAACACCCTTCAAACGAGATTGGTGAAGCCAGCGGTGACCTTTGTTACAAAGTCCCTAATGCTACTTTGCTTTATTTGATATAAAGCTCTGTAATTTTGTACTAGTTTGCTATATATCAGAGCAGGCAGATGCCTGTTTATATTGTCTGATAGTTGTGGATATGCTACAGTAAGATGAGATGGCTCTGAGAGTGGCACAAACCCTGTAACCGCTACAACATGTTCTTTTCCCTGAGTGTAATGTGACACTGCCATATAGAAGTTCAGAGAAACTGTAAAGGCAAAAAGAGTCCTGTGTGATTCAAACCATATGGTATCATATTTTTGGCTTGTAACTGGATAATGAGCACTACGAACACTGTACGGTAATTTATTGAGCCATATAATAAAGAATTTATTCAACCGGAAAGGTTTACTACCATTTTAATTTGTCTGATCTTTTCTTTTAACCATAATTTGTATTGGGGCCTTTGAGTAAGGACTTTTCTTGCTATGCATTCCAGTTTAACAGTTAAATGCTCTTTTTATTTCACAAATTCACTAATGCATTTTCTACATATAGTACATAATTTTCTTTATCATCTCATACTACATGCAATTATGTTAAGTTAACTTATAGACACAATTCATTTATTGAGCATTTTAATAAGGCTCTCCGTTGTATTTCATTCTCCCCACTTTCGGCATCCGGGTCAAATTATGATGCAGTCACCTGTTGACATCACCTGTTTCAAATGGAATCATCATTTCATTGTTTTACCTCATTTCTGGCCCTGAAATACAACAGTCCCAACTGTGAAAGACACATACAGTATAGGCAAGAACCAATTAACGTCACAACATCAAAGCTCTCTGGACAGTTGTTCCTGGGATCTGTATCTGTTGGAGCCCCTGTCCCAGCATAGGGATCCCAGCCCTGAGTGCTCCTACCACCACTGGTACCATTTTGACCTTTACTTTCCACATCCTCTCATAGGTCTACTCCTTCTTCCTGATGTTGCTGTCACACTATCTTACTTCCATAAGAAAACACTTCTTTTCAGAAAACTATACCAGTGCGTTGTCTTCATGGTATAAACAACGTGCTTCAACAGTAAACCTTTATTGTCAGTTGCTCTGACTAATTGTGAACTTCTCCTGAGAAGCAAAATCAATATATATCAAAATCAATTATTATTTTTGAGTGATATGTAACCCTTTTTAAATACTATTCATTCACAAAAAAGCAAAATCACTTTCACATTATTCTCCCACTTACTTTTAACAAGGGCATCACTAAAAAGTGTCTGGATTTTGCTCCTGAACTTTAAAGATTTATGAATGTTAATAGTTTTAATAAGATAGACTCAACAATTATTTGATCAGTTAAGGAATTAATTACGGTATTTATTTATTGGCTGACATGTCTTTTGATGTTTATGTAATTACAAAATACATTTTAAAACAGTAAATTTGTGATCTAGCCCCTACTGTAGATCCAGGAAAGGAGGTACAAGCTTGCACTAAAATTATATACGAGGTTGTTCTTATTGTTGATGGGCGGGTTGTCCTCGTGACGTCACGGCAGTTTTGACCTGCTGGATCGGTTGTGCAGAGAAGAGGCGGCGCGCCGGAAGGCTACTGTATAGCAATAAACAAGCAGTAATCAAAACTTAACTTCAGGGAAATCATCCGTGTTCGCAGTTTAGGTTTCAGCGCAGGACGTGTATAGGTGTCTGCAAAGTGATTTCTGAGGAACAGAGGACTTGCAAACATTTGTTTATGCGTGCGAAGTAAGCGTTTTGGCCTTGTCAACTTGGCTAACGTTAGCTAACATTAGGCCCAGCTAGCGCTAGCCGTGGGGCTTACTTTTCGCTAGCCAAAGCAAAACAAGGTAAGGCAAAGAAACCCACATATCAGTAGACTCCGGTAGTTCACAGCTCCCTTTATAGATGTCGTTATCTGCTCTTTCGGCCAATCAGTGTTTGTACTCTAGTAAATATGGTGTATATGTTCGCTAGCTAACTGAGCTCAATAAATAGCCTAAATGTTAGCATTTGGCAAGTTCTTGACTTGTGGGGAACCTTTATTTAGAGAATGACGTGTTAAATAGATTTTAAGGTATTGGATGTTTGACATTACATTACAGATTGCATAATATGAGCAGCAGTAGTAGCTAGGTTGATTAAGACTTAAGTATCAGAAATATTAGCTACTGTAACTAGTTAGCTAGTGAGTTAGGAGCTGCAGCTACAGTCAGTGAGCGTTGAGGTGCCATCCCGCTCAGAAAGTAAACATTAGCCTGCGTGGTGAGAGTAGTCAGTACTCTCTTCAAACAAAGTTGTCACGTTTGTCATTATGGTCACTGTCAGTGTTTTCCCTCCTTTTTCCTTGTTTTTAATAAGTCGTGTTTGCATTTAACCAGTGGTAGTTTTCTTCATCACATCCGTGATGTGATCCATGTATTCAGGTTACTATTTTACGGTAAAGGATGAACTGTCAAAAGAACCCTCACAAAAATATCTATTTACTGGCACCTTTAGTTTTTGTGCAAGTACAATATAACGCTGTAATGTTATACCAAGCCTCTGCGTCACTGTTCATATTTGCATGCAAGCATTTAGCGATTTTTTAATCATTTTATTTTGACCTATATTTGAGTTCTCACTATTCACAATAACTTTCTGTGATATACTATGGTGGGTTTACAGTTCATAATGCTTGAAGTCTCCAGCATTTCCATACAGAGCTTCATAGGACATCAGATTGATAGTATTCAGTTCCTGCAGTCTTTGGCTCCAGTCTAGAGATAGTGCTGTTACTGATAAATTATTGTTACTGATACTATAAATTTAGTGAAAATGTTACTGAAGCGTGACACCTGTTGTTGGACCACTTGCATGCAGAGTTATGAATTTAGCAAAAGACTGTTACTAGAAGTTTGTTTTGACTGGAGTGTGACAGCAGAGACCACAACATTACTAGGACTATGTTGTGAGGAGAGTGGGCGCACATGGGCCTTCGCATGACAGTGGCCCCTGTGCCATACACACACAAACACACTCCCAACTTGTATATATGTGAGAATGCAAAATGACATTTATACTGTATATTCGTCAAAAAACTTATGTTATTCCTGATGTCACTGTCCTGATCTGTTGATGCTTTTATTTTTTTGTAGGAATGAGTGATGACCTCTGTGGTAGTGTCAGATGGAGGAGGGAACATTGTGGAGTATGTCACTGTGGTGGAGGAGCCCCAGCAGGTATTGTTAGGAAAGTCAGAGCAACCCATGGTGGAAAATGTGATAAATGATTTGAAAGGTTGTGCTAATGGTTGCTAGTGTTAAAAGTAAGTGGGAGAATAATGTGAAAGTGATATAAATAAAGTAAATTCAGTTTTCTTCTGTGATGTACAGTCATGGCCAAAAATATTGGCACACCTGCATTTCTGTCAGATAATACAACACTTTTCCAAGAAAAGTATTTCGGTATTCTCATATTTATTTCTTTTGTTTGCATTGGACCAACACAAAAAAGCAGAGGAACAAAAGCCAAATTTGATACATTCCACATAGAACTCCAAAAATGGACTGGACAGAATTATTGACACCTTTTCAAAATCATCAGAAATAGTTGTATTGTTGTATTTCCAGCATGTGATGCTCCGTTAATTTGTAATGAAACTCACCTGTAGCAACCAACAGGTGCTGGCAACATAGAAATCACACCTGCAACCAGTTAAAATGGAGAAAAGTTGACTCAACCTTTGTGTTATATGGACCACACTGAGCATGGAGAAAAGAAAGAGCAAAGAATTGTCTGAGGATCTGAGAACCACAATAGTGGAAAAACATGGACAGTCTCAAGGCTCCAAGTCCATCTCCAGAGATCTGGTTGCTCCTGTGCCCACTGTGCACAACATTGTCAAGACGTTTACAGCCCATGTCACTGTAGCTAATCTCCCTGGATGTGGACGAAAGAGAAAACTAGATGACAGATTACAATGAAGGGTTGTTTCCATGGTGGATAAAGATTCTCGATCAACTTCCAAACAGATTGAAGCTGATCTGCAGGCACCGGGTGCAACAGTGTCAGCTCACACCATCCATCGCCATCTGGATGACAGGGGACACTATGGTAGGAGACCAAAAACCAGACTGGAGTTTGCCAAAACTGACCTGAGGAAGCCACAATCCTTCTGGGAGAAGGTCCTGTGGACTGATAACACTAAAGCACATTGTTCTGCTGTTTTCAGATATCAACAAGAGGCCTTCAAAGAAAAGAACACAGTCTTTACAGTAAAACACGGTGGAGGTTCACTGATGTTTTGGGGTTGCTTTGCTGCTTCAGGCCCTGGATGTCTTGGCTGTGTTTATGGCTTTATGAAATCTGAAGACTGCCAATGAATTCTGGGACCCAGTGTCAGAAAGTTGGGTCTCCGTCAGAGGTCCTGGGAGAAGGAAGCCTTCAAATCTGAGAGACCTGGAGGAGTTGGCAAAAGAAAAGTGGTCCAACATTTCAGTAGAGAGGTGGAAGAAACTCACTGAAGGTTACAGGAAGGGACTGATTTCAGTTATTTTGTCCAAAGGGTTGTGCTACCAAATATTAAGTTGGGGGTGTCAATAATTCTGTCCAGTCCATGTTTGGAGTTCTGTGTGGAATGTATCAGATTTGGATTTTTTGTGTTGTTCCAGTGCAAACAAAAGAAATAAACATGAGAATACCAAAGAATCTGTGATTGCAACAGTTTTCTGGTAGAATTGGTGCATTATCTGACAGAAATGCAGGGGTGCCAATATTTTTGGCCATGACGGTACATTAGGTAAAGAGGTGTTTACCTTATGTTTGCCAGCCTACAGTATTATCCTCTTATTAAGGTTAATTTTGGAACATTTCTCACAGAGACATGGCTGGCAGAGATCATTCCTTCTTGAAGAGCCTACTTGGATGGTTTCACACTTTTTAGAGACAGATACTGTTGAGATGAGAACGAAAGTCAGGAGGTAGAGTGTGTTTGCATGTAAGCAAGCTGTGCTCCATCCTCCTGGCTGCACACAGGGATACTTGACTTGCAGTGTCACCACAGCTACACCGTGGTCAAAACAACGCTCTCAAATCCAGACCATACACAGACTGTATAAAACATGGAGTACATCTCATGTCCCTTATAAGGACCGTCGCTTCCCTCATTTGTGTCTTATCCTTGTCTCTTAGTCCCGCACACATAAGATGGTCACAGGACTCGAGGAAACATTATTAACGACGTGAGACGTCTCTTCCTCCAATCCTTCATCTGAAGTGTAATCACCAGCTGATTTCTGATGAAGGGGTGTGTTAGTTCACAGAGACCTATGGTCTAGTCTATCTGCTGCTCCAGCACTGTCTTCGATCCTTGCTCCTCTGTCCTTAGAGCCAATATAAGAGACTTGGAAGGTCCTACGCCAGAATGACTTCTGGTTCGACCGAGGACATAGGATGTAGGAAAGATATTAAAAGAGACATGAGATGTAACCATGGACAGTCTGACAGCTCCCAGAAGTGAAACCACGCCAAGTCCATCGCCCCCTGGAGGCTGGTTGCAGTTTAGGTCATACACCCTGCCCCATCCATGTTAGCAGATGGGACAAACAAATCAAATAAACTTTTGTCAGAGGTGATTTGCGTCATATTGTATAGATATTATCACATTGATGTCTGTAGAATTGGCAGTTTGATGATATAAAATGGGGTGTATTTCAGATTATTTGATAGTGGTTCGATGCTGTCACTCCACTTCTGGTTGCTACTACACAGAATCTGATTGCAAAAAAGCAAGATGGCAGCCACCATGTTCATGATATATTAGTTTCACTTTTGGATAATGGAGGGAAGTGGTGATGCATCGCTCATTTTTTATATACAGTCTATGATCTGGACATAGAACTGCTGGCGGCGACTTCCTGACCTTTTCTGTTTTCTTTCTGACAGTTTGCAGTGGAGTGTATTATTTTGTTAGTGAGCGTCCCTCACTCAGCACGTACCCAAACTGCTCCAGGGACAATCTCTTACTGTGGAACTTTAGGATTTTACTTACACAAGTAATTGTTCAGATGTGGAAACACATTAACACCACTAACAAACTTTTTTTTTTTGTATCTTTCTAAACTGTTCAGTGTGAGCAGCATCCTGGTGAGGAGGAGGATGAGGAGGTCGAGGCAGTGATCCTCGAGGGTGGTGAGGAGGTGGAGGAAGATGTGGAAGAGGAGGAGGGTGTGGTGCTGCAGGAGGAGGGCTGTCCAGCTGTAATTGTCGAGGAAGTACCCAGCGCCCAGGTGGAGGAGTGTTACTCGGCCCAGGTGCTGGTCTACGATGATGAGACATATCTGATGCAGGACGTGGCTGAGGAGCAGGAGGTGGTCACCGAAGTGGCTGAGACTGGTGAGAAAAAAATCTTCTGAAGCTTATATCTGTCTTATAAATAGAAGATGTATTTATGGAGGATTCTGGTGATTTTGAATTACCAGCACAAAAACACACCCAGAAACCTTTAGCAGAATCATTCTGCAAAAGTGTTTTCAGTGTTTGCCATACACTGATTTATTTGTGACAGGCTGCCGCAATGTCAACACTGACTGCCAGATATTGATTTTCTATTTTTTATATTTTAAATAGGTTAAATCTTATGTCAGTGTAGTGCCGTGCACATTTCATGTATTCGCGCAGTACCACTGTGCCCCACTCTATTTCTGTCTCAGGCATACAAACACATGGCAACCATGACAATGGAGCATCTGTGAACAGCTCCTCCTTTTTGTTTTTAATACAACGCTGTCAATCACGGAGAGCCTACTTTTCTAATATGTTATACATATTGGAAATACAGCAGTTGCTGAGGTCAGCATGCTCTATATAGCATGGATGTACTGTATGGACCGCTCTACAAGTGGATAAAGTTAATGCTAATTCCTAAACTCTGACACTGAATGTTTGCCCCCTAAGTCCAGGGGAATATCAAAAAACATGGGGATAACTGATCAGTTCAATTGGTGTGATTGATTCACTTTGACTAAGTACTGGCTTCAGCCAGTGCTGCTGAAGCAGCAATAGAGGGTCAGGAAGAGAGAGAGCTGAAGAGAGCGATGTAGGAGGAGGGCAGCAGCCAACATGATGCTGCTGTGGGAGAGCTGGTGCAGAAGGGACAGATCACATGAACAGCACAGAGGTAATATAGTATTACTATATATAATCAGACAGACAAAAAAACTTATGAATGTATGACCCCCCCCAACAACAGCAGCCTAATACAATATAAGACTTAAAATGTTTTTGATGGATGCAAAATATCATCTGCTTAGCATTATTGACAAAATCCTAAAAATATTTAGATATTTTTGTCAATATTGCACACCCAAAAAACCCTGACTGGCACATCACTTCTAATTACCCATGTCGTGATTGTACAGTGTGAGTTGTACCTTTAGCCTAAAATTGTACAGTGGGGTAATGTGTTATCTATCAGGGCTACTTGATGTGATTTTATACTTTGCTGAGCTGAGCATTTAATGGTACCTGTTGTGTGTGACAGCAGTGGAGCGCCCCCTGCTGGCAGGCTAGATGTCTACCCCCAGATTACAGGAAACAGGAAGGGAGGACCAGACTGCCACTTCAAACCTTAAACAAGGAAACCAGCATTTCAAAATAGTTTACATTGCAACACTCTACTGTTGTGTCGCCTTTTCTCACCAGGAACGGGATCGTTGTGTTGTTGTTTGGTGTCACAGGCCTGCTCTTACTTAGTGAGCATGTACTGTTTGCAGAGGTCTGTGTGCTGACAGGGTTTTGTCTACTCTTCTTCTCAGTGGAGATGTCAGGTCATGTGTGTTTCGACAAAACGTTTGAAGCAGCTGAAGCTCTTCTCCACATGGAGTCTCCTGGAGGACTGCACAATGAGCGCAACACAGGTAAACACACTGTCACTACTTCCTCTTGTGTTTTCTTATTTATAATTAAACTCCAGACCTGTGCTGGCGAGAGACATGGTATTAAGCAAAACAAGGTTTTACTGCATTTAATCAGAAATTCATGGTGTTGAACAGTATCAGTTAAAACAGTGCACTTTGTTTTTTGAGTGGTTGAAACCACTCCACGAAAAGTCAGCTTGTATATAAAAATGTAAACTAGACAAATGATAGTTTTCTACTAAAACCAAAAACTACATGCTGTACTTTGTATTAATGACAAACTGGTGGTAAGAGATGTTTGATATTGTACTGATAACCTTTAAAGATACTGTTGACAGTTCTGCACTATAGCAGCCTAAGCCAGCTGTTACAGGTTTTACAGACTGCTTCATAGCTTTGAATCCCAGGATCTCACCTCAGTGATGAGGACTTTCCTTGTCATCTACACTGCATATACACAGACTTCCTGCTAGCTACCTCAATTGTTTATGTAGGAAAAGACTTGCCACTCGGATATCTAAACTCTTACCACTGCAGCTGTTAAATACAGAGTCTTTCCAAAACATTATTTTAACATTGTTTTCCAGAAACCTATAGTTTTGTAAATAAACTAATACTGACATATAGTAAGTTAAAGTATCTATTTGAAGACATTTTTATTGCTTTAGCTTTGTGTAGTCTAAATGATTAACCTGATCATGAATCGTTTCAGTCTGCATTGTAATTCTATTCTGTATTATTGTTCTTTGTTAGTGTGGCTGTAGCTAAACATAAATGGTAACATAAATACACTGTATAGCATTGTAGTCATCAATGTAATAAAATGAAACTGCATTTATTATATTTTAACACAAGTGCATTCAGTATTAAAGTAAAAGTCTTTTGTGTAGTAGTTTGTAGTCATGATGTGTTAATGTCTCTCTCTCACACACGCACACACACACGCACATTGGCCCTATGTCAGTATTAATGACTCCTGGCATTGCGCAGTAAAGATGCTGTTGCAGCCCTCACATACAGTGTCCTTGTGGCCTCCTCAGTCCATGATCCAGCAGAAAAGGAATGGTGTGATTGGTATTTTTTGTTTGGCCCCAGCAGAGGATGTGATGATGGAGACTGTGGTGGAGGTGTCTACAGAGTGTGGCTCTATAGAGGAGGAGTCCTTCCCCATCGCTCCTGAATGTGAGCCTGCAGCCAAAAAGAAGAGAGGAGGTCAGTGGCACTACTCAGCTCACAGGGTTCTGTAGTGGCTCACGCAGGGCTCGTAATCAGCGTTGTAAAAATAACACCCAGAACACACAAATTTGCCATTTGGGACCATTGTGGGACAGTAAAGACATTTTAGGGCAAATATGAAAAATGAATCCCTATGATTTTGATATTTCAAGAGATAAATGTGATTAGCGGATCTGAAAATCTGGTGCAGCCTCCATTCCTCCTCTCACTGTTTGACCGAGGACGGAGCTCACACCCTACTGCAGACAGAGAGGTAGCAAAGATATCGGGTAAAGTGAAACTTATTACTCAAGCTGCTTGTTACTGTAGCTTACCCTGCCATAACATCTCAGTGAGTAAAAAGACAATACGTGTAATGTATCAAAACACCTGTTAACCAATCATAAACTTGCAGAAAAGTGATCATTTCAGCTCTGCCTGCAGTCTCCCAACCACGGGTATGTGTTATAATGAGCTAGTTGGCTAACTGCTATGAACGTGCAAGAGGCAACGCTAACAATACAATACACTAACCGTCCAACATTCTGGTGGGCTTTGTGTCTGAGAGCAGCCCCCCACACACTCCTCCCTGTCCCCCTGTGCCTGCCAGCTGCAAGTCAGCATCAGACTTTATCCAGTGATTAATGTCAGGAGATTGAGCACGTTGTGATGAGCGGTTGTCGATGAATGAATTTGCATTCTGTGATTATAGACCAAGGAACTCCAGTCAAAAACTAAGTCTGTCTAATCCACAGTCCTGTAATAAAGAGAGTGTTGATTCAACTGTATGATCATTGTGGAGACAGGAGTTTTTGTAATCTGCCCTCACTGATGTCCTTAATGGGGTAGACACAGTGATAGAAACACCAATATCATGCTTACAGGCTGATAAACCATTCCTAGCATCATGTTTTAGCTAGAAGCCTATAAGAAGTTATTGTTATGCACTTGCTTATATGTTGTAGCTAACACTCCAGCTGTGCAGACACAAACAGGTTACAGTTGACTGTAGGTTGTATTACTTCTTAAGGCAGGCAAAGTACAATGTAAGTGTTTAACTGCTTTGCCTTGGAACTGAGACTGATAAATTAAGGGTTAAGATATAATTGAGATTAAAAAGTGGTAAAGAAATCCACTGAATACCAATTTAAAACCAGTGTTTCAAATAGATTTTTTTAGCTGTTATGGCGTTTAAACTGAAGTAAAATGAACTGTTTACTGTGTGTTCCAAGTGTGTCTATTTAAATTTTCATCACTTGTGTATTTTCTAGTGATGCATTTAGTGACCACATTATTTTGTTAGATTCTTTTAAGTTCAGAATGAATAGTCCAAAGTTAACATAGACCACTATATATGATGTGTTGTGCAGTGTATTTGGTATTAAGGTAATTTCATGCAGTACGCCGTTAAATATTGTTTTAAGAGTAGTCCAACTGCATTGTTGGACAGAGCTCTAATTTACCGGTAGTTCACATTCAACATTTGTGTCTGGTTACGTACTAGCTAACTAAACTAGCATTACCTTGTTTACCAACTACAGCCAGGTCTTCCCTCTCTCACCATCTCTCTGAACCTCTTCCCTGTATCGGCCTCCTCTGAAGAATTTTCTTATGTTCATCTTCAGAAGTCAATGTTTGAGTCAAAATAAGATAATCAGTGTTATTCAAAGACCTAATTTAGTTCCTGTCACATATCTCAGTCAATTCCTTTTTTGTTTTATGTGCCAGTGCTAGAGTTGCTATGTGCGCGCTGCAGTGTACCACCTATGAAGTGTGCCCCATGGTATACGAGCCCTGATCACTGCTTCTCAGCTTGAATTTTGCTTTGACATTCTGGATTAGAACAGCAAATCAGTTCTTTTCCTTTTATCAAACTAAATCAATCCACTGCCAAATATAGGAGCTTGTTAAAACTCAAATGTGTGCGTTTACAATGCCTTTTACTGTAGAGTATTGATCTGCTGTTGTTTGGTTTGGGACAGTTAAAAGTAGGATTCAGGATAGTTCTGGGACACTGACAGAAAAAGTTCATTTCAAGCTCCGGCTTTATGTAATAGATGTGTGCTTCAAAATAATGAACCACTTCCTAGTGCTACAGCCTATGTAGGCTCTCATGTCCCTACAGCCAGTTACTGTGTGTAGCATGTTGCTCAGGTCCTTAATGCTACAGCAGTAGATTCTGTAGGTTTCATCTGTAACTGAAAACATGAACTGGATAAAAGAGCCTACAGACAAAGGGAGCCTTCACAGTTTACCTGCTGTTTTTGGTGCAGTAGCTACATCTTGCTTCCTAACCATACTTACTTATTTGTACTTTAGCATACTCCATGAAGGGGTCTGAATACTTTCTGAAGTCATCCTGGGGCTTAAAGAAGAGATGACTGGAGTAGTACACTACAAGACTAACAAATAATGGAGCATGTTTGAAAATGACAGACTGGCCTGACAATGTGAGGAGTATGTGACAGCACTTAAACCTATTGAAAGTCTAAATTCTTACAAGAGGGTCATGACAAGGCTCCCATTCACCTCCTCACCTGGAATTCTAAACACTGACCAGGGGTGATATGAATCTTGTGTGTGTGTGTGTGTGTGTGTGTGTGGGTGTGTTGAGTGCAGGTGGACGTAAGCCCAAGACACACCAGCCTGCTTCCAATGGATCCTTCGACCTGGGGATCAAGAAGAGGCCGAGAGAAGGCAAAGGTTTGGAACAACTCTTGTCTGAACCCAGAGCGGTGCATGAGTAGCCACTATGCAACCCATTGACTTAGAGAAGTCTTTTGTGCAGAACAGCGGCAGAACATCTGTCATGTTCATGCTTATGTAAAATGTTACCACTCTTAGACTTCTCCTTACTCACTTTGCCCAGCTGGGGTGCAGGTGGTGTGTGCTGAATATTTCTCTGACCTCAGTGAAAATCAGCCTTTTGTGTTTTTTCCAACAGTGTACAATATTAAGCATAAATGTTGCCCTTTGATGTATTGTACCAGAGTTAGCCTAAAGCTAACTTTCAGCTGCAGTTTAAAACGTACCTTCATTGAAGTGACTCCCCTGAACGGTGAGCTGTGGTGGGAGATGTCAGCCAAAGCCGTCTGCCTTTGACCATCAGCGTATCGATACACCACTGCAGGGCTTAAAGTTCTCCGGCACTGTGCCAGGTTTCCACTGCAGGCTTGTTTTTTTTATTGAAAAGGGCCAATGTCTGTAGAAAATTCTTTTGGCCAAGTACTCCACAGCAGCACAATCAGAGAAATAAATGCAAATATCATGCTGCATAAATCATGTAAAATAAACCATTTTTGACCAATATTAATTATACAAATATTTGTTGTATTTAAGGCAACAGTTTTGACTCTGGCAGAGGTGGTACCAGGGGTGGCCAATCAGATTCTGGCTATGCCTCATTTAAACCTCTCCCATCCTTGTTTTTTTTTTTTTTTGTTGTTGTTGTTCTTTGAGCCCTGATCACTGTAAAGACACCTCTATAATCCAGAGGTTGAGGATTGCATGCTGTTGTGCTGTGTCCTCCAGGCAACACCACCTATCTGTGGGAATTTCTGCTGGAACTGCTGCAGGATAAAAACACCTGTCCTCGATACATCAAGTGGATGCAGAGAGAGAAGGGCATCTTCAAGCTGGTTGACTCCAAAGCAGTGTCCAAGCTGTGGGGGAAACACAAGAACAAGCCCGACATGAACTATGAGACCATGGGCCGAGCCCTGAGGTCAGTCACAAGCACCTGATTTTCCTGAACAGAGTCTGCCCTACTCTTTTATACATAACACAGCTTTGATATTTCCTGCGTGTGTAGGTATTACTATCAACGTGGCATCCTGGCGAAGGTGGAGGGTCAGCGTCTGGCCTATCAGTTTAAAGACATGCCCAAGAACATCCGGGTGATAGACGACGAGGGAGAGGGCGAGGAGGTGGAGGACAGTGAAGGCATGATGTCAAGCCAGCACCTGGCTCACCAGCAAGGCCCTGTCAGCCTGGGCACCAATTCCCCTGCTGCCACCCAGCCTCAGCAGACCTACGTCACTGTCATCCCCAGCAACGCTGCCAACAGGTCTGGAAAGTGTGATCTAAGTTGTTATTTCCATGTGAAGGTAAACATGTCAGTAATAAGGTTAGAAAATCCTTTTGCTCTGTTTGACATCAGGATAGTGCATTTGTATTTGAAACTACAGACAACCATGTTTGAAACTACAGACAACCATGTGATTGCTGTTAGGAACATTGATTTATTCTGCAGGCAGGATCCCAGCTGGACTAAATTTCACGTTGGCCTATGTTTTAAATCACTTTATTTTATTTTATTGTCTTACTTTAATTCAGTAATTGGTTCCACTCAGACATAGATGTAAAAATGTCAGTTTGTGGTTTTACAGGATATTACATGCTATAACTGATTCATAGCCAGGTCAATAACCCCCTGCACTGTTGCCAGGCAACTAAATAGCTGAATTAACCAAAATGCTCCTGTTCAGCTTGTCGTGTAAAAAGGTCAAAACATCCACAATAGCAATCAGACCTCCAGTGTCCCTCCCTAGTTTTGCTTGTAATTCATGTCCACTTCATGGATGAATGAATGAATATCCACAAAACATTTGAGATCCAGCAATAAGAGCAAAAACTGTTCAAAGTCCCCATGGCTAAACTTAGCGTTAAGTCCCACTGAGTAGTGGAAACATCACTTTCAAGTAGCTCCAAGGTCGGTAAATCCAACCGGTGGTAGCTGCGTCTTCCCCCACACGACCACATACAGTCCCAAAGTGGTGAAATTAATTCCAACGGGTAGCGTAGCACCGACAATAACATCATGGATTGTTAATCAGCAACACATCCCATGCGGCAGACACACTGGCCTCAAGCAGTCAAAACAAACAGGTACTGTGCTCCGGGGGAATCTAGCGTTGATGAGCTGATCACTAACTGCGGCGGTGGCTTCACAGGCCAGCTGACTGTAGGTCAGGTGAAACAGCGAGTCCCTGTACAGGAACATTCCTGGACATGCAGTAACCTCAGGCCCTGTATTTTTCTCCACATCCTCTGGTCACAGTGCAGCAGGGGGAGGGAAAATATATCCACAAAACCAGGCGCAGTCGAAGAATTCTGCTTTTACAATAGCACCAGTGGATGTCAGGCAAGCTCACATGAATGCACAAAGGCCTGAATTTATGTCCATTCAAGGAAATCCTAAGTGTCATGAGCGACAGTTTACGAGATGTATATAAACCGAGTTGCTTCTGCATAGAAGTACTAGAACATACGTACACCTCATTTTTTGAGCTTTAGGTCACGTCTTAGATGAGAATTCATCGTTGTAACAATGTAGATAAGTCAAAAAAACGAAAATCATGCTATGAGCTCTTTAAGTGAAAGAACCAGCTGGCTGACATCTTGTCTTTTTATGCTTCTGCTCTGTCAGACATCATAAAACACAATGCTGACATTTGTCGAATAAACTTGTGATGAGACTTATCAGAGCATTGACAGTGAGAAGTGGGGACAAGCATGCCTCATGCTTGTGGTGGCAGCTTCACATTGGTTGTAACAACCATTGTGAGAGAAACATTCTCCTTGCTCCTCCAAGCTTTCATACTGCGACTGTCCAAATCTGCTGCAAGCACACACCCCACAGTTCCCAAACAGCACTGGCTGTTGTGGATCTCTGCATAACACTCCTGCCGTGCCTGAATAAAGCCATAACCAGCATTTTAAGGCAAAAATCATGACCTTAACAACACTGTTACATATTCCATGTCTGGACAGGATTATCAGGTCACCGATCTGTGAATATATAACTCGGGACTGTTTGAAATTAGAGGTATTTTGCGGTTGTCATATCTTCTCCCTTTTGTCCCTTCTCCTTCAGGCCCATCCGAGCCATGCCAGTGGTTATGACCAACTCACTAGGTCAGGTGACGTTAAACTCCTCCTCCATTCTCACCACTACCACAGGAGTCCCTGTAACGGTAGCTAATGCCTCGGGCGGCGCTCCCCCCAAACTGGTGATCCAGGCCCTGCCCACTATGCTGCCGGCCGGGTCTAAAGCAGGAGAGAAGATCACCATCATCACCATCCCAGCCAACCAGCTGGCCACGCTCATGCAGGCCAACTCGTCAGGCCAGATCACTCAGCTCATCCAGGCCAAACCTCTTGCTGCACAGCTAGCGCAGGCTGCCACTAAACCTGCCGCCTCTACAGTCCAGCTAACGGCTGGCCGATCGGCGCCGCACCTCATCCTGGCCAAACCGGCGGTGGTGGCCCAGCCATTGCCTCAGCTCTCTGTCCAGGTGAGCCAGCCTCACTCTGCCCTGTCCAAAAGCCCATCCCCCTCCCCAGTTCTGAAGCCCCCCAGTCAGCCTGAAGCAGCACAATCAGAGGCAGCAGAGGTTCTGCCCCCGTCCAGCCTACCAGCAGCATCAACTGAAACCCCATCATCATGAGAGCTCCACCCTGAGTGGGGGCCACCGGTGGGGTGGTGTACAGGAAGTGACTGTGGACACTGCTGAGCAAGTGCAGGACACGTCCTATACAGTACCCCTCACTCTATGGAGCTGCTGCAGCCCCAGTAAGGATTAAAGAGACTGGTGCACAAACGCACGCACACGCACGCACGCACGCACACACACACACACACACAGATCCTTCAGAGCTTAGAGCCTTAGATTGTAAAGAAAAAAACATTTCTTTTTTGTAATCAAACGTAATATAAAAAGCCTGACAAGACTTTGTTGTAAATGTAAAAAAAAGCATTTTTGATACTCTACCCGTATGCATCAGTACAGCTGTAGTTTGTTCCTCTGTTTCCTCCTCTGTTGTAGTCTTTAATGGTTTGCAGAGTTCTCTTACTCCACAACACTGTCCCCTCTCCTAAATCTTGGCATTGTGTTTTTTTTTTTACTGTGCATAAAAATGGAGTAAGGATGTCTGCATCAGGATTAAAGAACTAAATGGTCTTTCACGTTTGAAGTATAGTATACTATTTTTTTTTTCTTGTACTCTGTGTATTACAGTAGATTTTACTGAAATGTGTATTATAAAAAAAATGAAATGTGAATTAAAATTGTCCTGAGTTGTTTCATTCAGCCACCTGAAAAATGAAACACTTAGTACATATTCAGCCAAACATTTTTGTATGTTAAAAAAAAAAAATGCTGATCTTAGAAAAGTGTGCTGGGCAGGCCACGGGGAGGCACTGTTCTGCTGTTACCAGCACTTCTCAGAGATCAATCAAGTTAAGACCTGCTACTATTTTTTTCAGCTTTGCAAAAGCAGAGACTCCATAGACTGTCATTTGGCAGATGGCGAGTTATGTCAGTGAACAGAAATCTGCTGTCACAAATATTTACAATGGCTTTAGAAATTCTGTCTCTTTCACTTGTTGCACAGTGTTGTAGAAGTTTTTGATATTAAAAATCAAAAACTGAAATCTGAGCATTGTAGCTACAAAATAGCGATTTTATGTCATGAATCTTAAAATTAAATCTACAACACGAACATACAAAGGAGATACCTTCTGAAGCCTTTGTAAATAGACTTGTTGGCACAGAAAACATTGTCAGAGGAAAAACCTAATCTACACTAGTTTTAAATGAGGAGAGAAAATCCATATTAAGCACTTCTGCTAAATACCTGGTGTTTGATGCCAGTCCTTCAGTAGAATGTATAGCACTAAGTGCACTGCATACAATGGCCCTAAGCTCATCGCAGCATAAGAAAACATGCCAACGGGTGTTGAAATAGGACGTACAAACAAACTGTTACTGAGTTGGAAGAATTGTTAAAACAGTCTTTAGTTAACTGACACTACAAACTACCATCAAATCAGTGTATATAAAGGCTTTGTGCTTTTCCTGTGGGCGCTGAGGCAAAATTAATAAATTCACAACAGTCAACTGTGCTTAGCCAGGAATTCAAACAGAACACAATAAGAGTAAAAATAATCATTTAATAAATTAACATTCCTCCTCATGTTCAAAGCAGCAACAACAACAACAACTCTGTCATGATTACCAATGTCACACTGAAGAGCCATCGAGGACTACTGCGGTGCAAAGTAATTCATTTGAACACACTAAAGGAAAAGGCTGTTGATTATGGTATAGCCAACTGAAAGTTGGATGTTTTTAAAGTGCTATATAAATAAATTTGATTTGATTTGAAAGTATTAAGAAAAGGTGCTAATAGTCTTGTGTGTGTATTGAGAAAAGAAAAAAAACCAGCAGCTGGTTTCCAGTGTTCAAACTTCAGCAAATGAACACCTTAGCTGCAATTTTCATTAATTTGTAAGAGCTCAAACGCACTGGAGATGGACTCCAGTGGGACTCTAAACCCCACCCACCTGTATGCAACTTTATGAAATCAAATGTCATTGCCAAGACACTATCCATTGTTTTTTCCAGCACAAGTGATGTCAAATTGTCTAATACAACTTCCTAAGCTCCCCATTATGACTATATTGTTAATGCATTATGATGCACTAATCAGTATTCACTGGCCCTGCCGTGAGGTCGCCCTCTGGCTGCTGGCTTTAAACAGAGCTGGCACCCTTTACTTTCCACACTCTTACTTCATTATTGTTTCGGGATAAGCAGTCCATTCACTCAGTCCTCCTATTGGTCCAGAGCTGCTATGGCAGCTTACATCCTCCCTGAAACTGATATCACAGACTAGTGATAAATGGTCAGATGGGTAGTGGTAGGAGGGGAGGCGGTCTGGCCCAATCTCCTCCTCAGTGGGAATGTCCAACAGACAGTCCACACTCAAAGCATCATGGGTATACCAGATATAGTCCAACGTGCTGCGGCTCTCTCCAGAGGCGCGGATCTTCCACGTGGTATAGGCCGGCTCCGTCTGTCCATCAGAGCTCAGCAGCTTGTAAACAGAGTTCAGGCCAAGGGCGGAAGAGCTGAAGCATCTGTAAACGTCCTCTGAGGGCTCTGCATTAAAGTCCCCGCAAACTACTAAAGGGATTGTGGACGATGCTACCTCGCTCTGAAAGTCACCCAGGGATGTTATGTTGCGTAAACTCCGCAGCAGGTCAGCACCTTGTGCACTCCGCAGCCTTTCCCAGCCACTACAAGCTTTCAGATGAGTGACGGCCACACACAGCTGTCGGCCTGTTGCCCGGCAGTTCAGTGTCTGAACGATAGCTACTTGGTTGGTGGGCAGCATCATGCCTGACAGTCGCAGGTGAGCTGTGGCCTGGAGGGAAAAGCGGGAGCGACGGTAAAACAAAGCGCAGCCGTCAGGGCCGTTATTCTGCTCTACACCCAAACAGGGAGACCAGGGTTTGGGCAGGAAGCTGCCATGGTAACCTAGGCTGGTCATGATTGGCTGAAAAGTGTCATAGTAATGGTCCACTTCCTGTAGACACAGGATATCAGGTCGGTAGGTGAGGATCTCCGCCAGGATCAGGTACTTCCTTTCCTGCCAGTTGAGAGCATCCAGTGGGCAGCGGATAAACTCATCCTTCCCCTCGCCAAGAGCTGGGGGAAAAAAAACAAACATAAATTTATTTGGGCTAAATTAGTTTATTTTCATACTAAAGCAGGTCTAGGAGTCCACAGGCAGTCTAGAAGCTCTGCAGGTCTGTAGTAAGATACAGTGCTTTGAAGCAAATGCCAATGCATTGGCATTTGCTTCAAAGCCTTGGCATTGTCTTTATTGTATTAACATTTACTAATTAGGACTAAACACATAAGTACAGCTGAGAATGACTTCAGTCTCAATCACAGTGGTGGACCAACCATTTGATGCTGCTAGTGTAGGCAAAACTAACCCCTTGAATTTTTCAATACATTTTACTATAGACCTCACAAATCCACAGTTGCATGGTCTGTCCATAGATCCCTACCTTGGGCGAGTATGTTCCACTGCATGACCCGTATGGAGGGGTTGCGCTTGTGGTGGCACGGCACTGTGCCAGCGGGATAGACCAGATCCCGGTGTGGCCGAGCTGGACGTCTCTGCAGAGCCTCCTCACATTCTCTGAGCAACTGGTCCGGGTCTAACGCAGCCAGGTCTTGGTCCGGGTCATGATCTGGGCTCTCCTCCGTGTATGGGCCTGGTTGGACCAGGGGTGCACTGTTCAGCGACTGGGCCAGTGTACCAAATAACCTGCTGCTGCTGCTGCTGCTGTTCCCCCCCATTGGACAAACTGATGAAGAGGAACAAAGAGAGAAATATGTTTGGTTAATGAAGGTGCTTTGTATTTTTTTTCCTAACATTGGCCACCATAAGCTATTGGTCGTTCCAGACCAAGGAATGTTTATCAGCATACTGACTTGAGCAATTATGTTTTAGTGCAATACAATGAAATTTTCATATTACATAGAGTATTCACATGGCATAGTAGCCTTACCCTATCAATCGTAAGACTAAGAATAAAGCCCGACCTTTGCCTGTGCCTTCCAGGAAGATAAGTAGCATAAAAAACACTGAACTAAGAGACTATACCTTTGTTGTCAACATAAATAAAGACAAACCAAACACACAAATTAAACATTTGTTCAGACCACTCACTGATGTGGCTACCTGGAATGGGTAAGAGCATCTCAACATCTCAGTATAACATTGTGCAACTCTACACAATGAACTTGTTGCTGTTGGCGACTCTTTGTACCATCAATAACTTCAGCGCATCTCAGTATAACATTGTGCAACTCATGAGTTCTACACAATGAACTTGTTGCTGTTGGAGACTCTTTGTACCATCAATAACTTCAGCCTCAAAATGAGGATGTTGAGATACAAGTTAACACAAGCGGATCTCTGTACGTCTGATTAGCAGGATGGATTAGACCAGATTTGGTTCAATAAAGGGACAGCTATGGCCCAACACAAGCATGAGCACTAATATAGACTTAAAACAAAGTCGACAAAGGAAGAATACACTAACACAATGCTTTCAGCCTGTCCAAAGATGATGGAACTAAGGTTCCTTTTTCTTTCCTTCTTTCGTCCTCTCGGTCATCCCTCATACTCCCTCCTTTGAGCTGAACTGAGTGTGGAGTATGGAGGGGCAGTTTTGACTCTCATGAGACAGTCCCAGTGAATGCTGCTGTGGCAGCCAGATGGAGGATTGGCTCAGCAACTGACTGTCCCATTCAAGAATGCTCTCCCTCTCTCCTGACACACACACACACACACACAAAGTTAACAGAATGAGAGCTGTGCAGTGTAGACAATCCAGAGGAAACTCAGCAAACTGGAATATCAGCCAACAATGAACTGTCAGGCAGGCAAAAAATTCACATGGCTGTTAACAATTATTAAGGACACATCAGTGAGCTATACTGTTGCACTGACATATTCCCTCATTACAATGAACACTGTAGATTTTTTTGACTCAGTCACACATTTGTGAGGTGTTTCTAAAGATTTACATTTCAAGCCATATTGAGAGACAGACACTTTGATGTTTTGTTTTTTTCTATGATAGCAGGACAAATAAAGAGTAACAGCAGACTTCACCTCTCATCCACATTAATACTGCTTCATGCAGGCTATGCCCCAGTGCATCATGGTCTACTGTGCCACACCAGCACCACATCCAAAGCTGTGAAACTGTTACTACGGTGACACATTGTGCTTGACTTGTTGGTGTTTGGAAAGAGCGACACTGATTATAAAACACAATGATCACTCACCTGCAGAGCCATCAATGTTGCTGATGACACCTCCCTAATCATGAAAACTCAGTTTTTACTTTTATCATTTATTTAGGGTTCCTTTATTACAAAAAGGATCAAAAGAAAAATCAATAACACATAAACCACTTAAAAATTATTTTAAATTCTCAGTCTTTTTACATTATGAACAATACTATTACTGGCCCTTTAGCTCTTTGAATGTATTTTTCGATCATGGTTTGTGTCTAGTGTTAGTTAAGCCTATGCATTTGTTCTCAGTGTGAAATAAGAGTTAATATCAACAGCCAAATTGCAGTTGCTTTTGCTGGTTCACCAAAAAGGCCTGCAGAGACATGTATAAGTCAGACTGCCTACTGGGGAAAAGGCCTGCTGGGATTACATGCATGGCTTGTTAATTTTTAGACTTCAGGGCATTCTCAGTACAGAGTGTGCCAAGTTGAACTCAGTTGAACTAAATTTGTGGGAGCTGCTGGGCGAGTTATGAGGTTGCTATTCAATTCACTTTATTTGTATAGCACCAAGTCACAAGGGCACTTTACATAGTGAGCTTTAGACCTTACAATATTACAGAGAAACCCCAAAGCACAGGACTTGGCTATTGGGAGCCAAAACTCTAGAGAATGGGAGGAGGCAGTATGCTCAGGTTGCAGATGAGACCACAGCTTCTTGCTGACATCACCATCTCAGCAAACACAACACCGCCACTGTAATGTACACTATGAATTCAATTAAATCTACAGTAACATCTACCGCAATGCCTGTTATTTTTTAAGTCCACATATTAACTTCTGTTGAACAAGGGTGAGACCTCTATACAGTGTATTAGAAGCCAAAAGGAGAAAAGCAGCACTGTTGTACAAACTTAACTGCCTAATAAAGAACATGAACCTTCACTTTATCATTGACAAACTACTGTGGAAACAGCAAATATGCATTTTCCACTTTGAGTTTATCTTTCAGAGGGAATTAGATATTTTGTTATATGGAGACATGCCACCGTCAACAGTGAGTCACCACAGTACTTCCCGGGATAAGACTGTTCTTGGTAGGATGATCATGGAGGCTGAGGCTGCTCTTGATCACTGGGTTTGGCAGTTGCCAGGAGAACGATATTTGTCTGACTGCACTGTGCCAAGTGTAAAGTTTGGTGGAGGGGGGATTATGATGTGGGGTTGTTCTTCAGGAGCTGGGCTTGGCCCCTTAGTTCCAGTGAAAGAAACTTTTAATGTCTCAGCATACCAAGACATGTTGGACAATTTCATGCCCCCAACTTTGTGGGAACAGTTTGGGGATGGCCCCTTCCTATTCCAACATGACTGCACACCAGTGCACAAAGCAAGGTCCATAAAGACATGGATGACTGAGTATGGTGGGGAAGAACTGGACTGGCCTGCACAGAGTCCTGACCTCAACCCGATAGAACACTTTGGGATGAATTAGACAGCACAGAGGCACTAATCCTGGCAGCACAGGAACAGGCTCTAAGTACAAGATCAATAGAACCCGGGGTCTACCATACCAGACAGGACCCCAGGTGCAGGCTGTGCAAAGATGCCCCCGAGACAATCCAGCACATAACAGCGGGGTGCAAGATGCTAGCTGGCAGGGCATACATGGAACGCCATAACCAAGTGGCTGGTATAGTGTACAGAAACATCTGTGCCAAGTACAGGCTGGAAGTCCCAAAGTCAAAATGGGATACACCTCCAAAGGTGGTTGAGAATG